GCCCATCATAAACCCACTGTTGCAGCATGCTGGTACTCCACGCCTCGCTCACACTGAAGGCTTCCTAGCACACAAACTTAAGTATTTGCCACCTGGTGTGAAGCGTGCAATAGCCCAACGTGATTGCTTGGTGTGTAAAACAACGACACGTAGAGACAAGAAACGGAAGCTTGTGCAAACATGGTGTGAAACGTGTGGTATCCCATTATGTGCTGTCGACTGCTTCAATGACTACCACAGTCTAGAAATCTTCTAAGTGTGCTTCAAAGTGTGTATAGCGTGTGCGAGTGTGTAAATATGTAAACATATAAGCAGAACATATAATATAATAGACTGTAATGACATATTATATTGCCGTAATTGAAAACATTTGTGTGCGCCTGTGTATACTCAAATATGCAACAATTATTGATACAAAATATGTTCAAACAGTATTTGAAACACAATTAGTGAAAAAAAATTAGATAAAATGCGCTTAGACATTGTAAATAAATAGCGCGAAAATATATTTGTGGCAACTCTGGCTGTTTGAGGACCGCGCGCAACATCTCCCGGGCGTGTACTGCATGAGCGACCATGCAGATTGTGACGTCATCGCAGAGCTTCTCGGCTCTATTGCAACAAAAGTAAGTACAATAGAATTTTTTTTTTATTTTTCCCGTGATCAGTGAACAGAACTTAACAGATTAGCAAAAAAAAAAAAATTTTTTTTTTTTCAAAATGACATGCGCCTGTGTGGATAGCAGGATATTAGACCCCGAGCATGTTAAGGGTTAAAGAGCCATACATCCACAGTGAGACCTTCCCTGCTTCTCCTCCCGAAAGCACTGACAAGGAGTCAGCGCTTTCTAATTCGGAAATCCTAACTGATCTTCCAAATTATTTTCAGGACAATCATAGTGCACCTCTTGTCAAGATCTTCAAAGAACATAAAGAGTTGTTCCGAGATGACCCCCAAGAGTGTAATGTTACCCAGCACGACATCCAACTGCTCCCTGACACCCGGCCGATTCGTCAACCCTTCTACCGAATCAGCCCTAGCAAGAAGGAAGTCATGCGTGCTGAGGTGCAGTACCTCTTGGATCATGGACTGGCTATACCTTGTGAGTCCCCCTGGGCCTCACCCTGTATCTTGGTGCCAAAACCCCAAGGTAAGGTGAGACTGTGTACGGATTTCCGTAAGTTAAATAATGTGACTGTCAAGGATGCATACCCCTTGCCAAGGATAGATGACATTCTTGACGCCATTGGTAATGCCCAGTACTTGTCCCAAATGGACTTGCTTAAGGGGTATTACCAAGTGTGTCTAACAGAGCGAGCCAAAGAAATATCTGCCTTTATCACTCCCTTTGGACTTTTCAGATATGAACGCCTTCCTTTCGGACTATGTAATGCCCCGGCCACCTTTCAGAGAGCTGTCAACCGCGTCATCCAGGGCTTGGATAACACCTACGGCTATTTGGATAATATCGTTGTAGCCTCCAACACCTGGAGCGAACATCTGCTCCAGCTGCAACGACTGTTCGCCAAGCTCCTGACAGCAGGCCTCACCATCAACCTGGGCAAGTCCACCTTCGCCAAAGGTAAAGTGCGTTATCTGGGTCATGTAATTGGGAGTGGCAGCCTAGCTCCGCTAGACGCACACACTCAAGCCATCCAGCATTATCCACAGCCTACCACCAGGAAGCAGCTCCTGCGCTTCCTTGGTCTTGCCTCCTACTACCGTAGGTTTGTGAGAAATTTTAGTACAGTTTGCTTATTAGGCAAATCGGGCCTTGCATAGTAGGCTGAGAAGTGCGTTCTGGCTACTAGGTACGACATTATATATATATATATATATATATATATATATATATATATATATATATATATATATATATGTATATATATATATATATATATATTATATTTATATATATATATATATATATATATATATATATATATATATATATATATATATATATATATATATATATATATATATACACATATATATACATATGCGAACAAGCCTGAATGGTCCCCAGGACAATATGCAACTGAAAACTCACACCCCAGAAGTGACTCGAACCCATACTCCCAGGAGCAACGCAACTGGTATGTACAAGACGCCTTAATCCACTTGACCATCACGACCGGACATAATGAGGTGATAGCCGAGGCTATTTGAACCACCCCACCGCCGGCACTCGGATAGTAATCTTGGGCATAGCATTTTACCAAATCACCTCATTCTTTGGGGCACACGTGAGGAACACAAATGCGAACAAGCCTGAATGGTCCCCAGGACAATATGCAACTGAAAACTCACACCCCAGAAGTGACTCGAACCCATACTCCCAGGAGCAACGCAACTGGTATGTACAAGACGCCTTAATCCACTTGACCATCACGACCGGACATAATGAGGTGATAGCCGAGGCTATTTGAACCACCCCACCGCCGGCACTCGGATAGTAATCTTGGGCATAGCATTTTACCAAATCACCTCATTCTTTGGGGCACACGTGAGGAACACAAATACGAACAAGCCTGAATGGTCCCCAGGACAATATGCAACTGAAAACTCACACCCCAGAAGTGACTCGAACCCATACTCCCAGGAGCAACGCAACTGGTATGTACAAGACGCCTTAATCCACTTGACCATCACGACCGGACATAATGAGGTGATAGCCGAGGCTATTAGAACCACCCCACCGCCAGCACTCGGATAGTAATCTTGGGCATAGCATTTTACCAAATCACCTCATTCTTTGGGGCACACGTGAGGAACACAAATGCGAACAAGCCTGAATGGTCCCCAGGACAATAATACATACCAGTTATATACATACCAGTTGCGTTGTAGACAATACATACCAGTTGCGTTGCTCCTGGGAGTATGGGTTCGAGTCACTTCTGGGGTGTGAGTTTTCAGTCGCATATAGTCCTGGGGACCATTCAGGCTTGTTTGCATTTGTGTTCCTCACGTGTGCCCCAAAGAATGAGGTGATTTGATAAAATGCTATGCCCAAGATTACCATCCGAGTTGCCGGCGGGGAAGTGGTTCAAATAGCTTCGGCTATCACTTCCTTTTTGTCCGGCCGTGATGGTCAAGCGGATTAAGGCGCCCTGTAGTTACCAGTAGCGTTGCTCCTGGGAGTATGGGTTCGAGTCACTTCTGGGGTGTGAGTTTTCAGTCGCATATAGTCCTGGGGACCATTCAGGCTTGCTTGCATTTGTGTTCCTCACGTGTGCCCCAAAGAATGAGGTGATTTGATAAAATGCTATGCCCAAGATTACCATCCGAGTTGCCGGCGGGGAAGTGGTTCAAATAGCTTCGGCTATCACTTCCTTTTTGTCCGGCCGTGATGGTCAAGCGGATTAAGGCGCCCTGTAGTTACCAGTAGCGTTGCTCCTGGGAGTATGGGTTCGAGTCACTTCTGGGGTGTGAGTTTTCAGTCGTATATAGTCCTGGGGACCATTCAGGCTTGTTTGCATATTTTATATATATATATATATATATATATATATATATATATATATATATATATATATATATATATATATATGCGAACAAGCCTGAATGGTCCCCAGGACATATGCAACTGAAAACTCACACCCCAGAAGTGACTCGAACCCATACTCCCAGAAGCAACGCAACTGGTATGTACAAGACGCCTTAATCCACTTGACCATCACGACCGGACAAAATGAGGTGATAGCCGAGGCTATATGAACCACCCCACCGCCGGCACTCGGATAGTTATCTTGGGCATAGCATTTTACCAAATCACCTCATTCTTTTGGGGCACACGTGAGGAACACAAATGCGAACAAGCCTGAATGGTCCCCAGTACATATGCAACTGAAAACTCACACCCCAGAAGTGACTCGAACCCATACTCCCAGAAGCAACGCAACTGGTAGGTACAAGACGCCTTAATCCACTTGACCATCACGACCGGACAAAATGAGGTGATAGCCGAGGCTATATGAACCACCCCACCGCCGGCACTCGGATAGTTATCTTGGGCATAGCATTTTACCAAATCACCTCATTCTTTTGGGGCACACGTGAGGAACACAAATGCGAACAAGCCTGAATGGTCCCCAGGACATATGCAACTGAAAACAGGACATATGCAACTGTGTTCCTCACGTGTGCCCCAAAAGAATGAGGTGATTTGGTAAAATGCTATGCCCAAGATAACTATCCGAGTGCCGGCGGTGGGGTGGTTCATATAGCCTCGGCTATCACCTCATTTTGTCCGGTCGTGATGGTCAAGTGGATTAAGGCGTCTTGTACATACCAGTTGCGTTGCTTCTGGGAGTATGGGTTCGAGTCACTTCTGGGGTGTGAGTTTTCAGTTATATATATATATATATATATATATATATATATATATATATATATATATATATATATATATATATATATATATATATATATATATATATATATATATATACATATAGTATATATATATATATATAGTATATATATATATAATTAGTTTAAGAGCAAGAGAAAGTCTTATCTTAATAGATTAAATATTGTTTTATGATTAGAAGAGCGGAGTTTTACCCCATGATGCTGGTGAAAGATTCACGGAAGCTGACAATGAAGCTAGAACTACAACGTCTCGACCCGATACAATCTTCGTCACAGAACTTGGTTTCTGTTTGACACCTTCTAAACTCTTTTCTTCCTGTTTACGCCTCCAGACCTCCCACACAGTGGTGCTTTACCCTTCATACATCCACTTTTATGTCATGACCAGTGGCTATTGTGAAGATTTTTGCTTTAGGTAAACAATGGGATGTCTTCCACATTCTTCTCAAGCATTATCATATCCTTAAATCTTTGTATTCTGAATGTAGGTAAGGCACATTGGTATATTAATAATTAACATTTAACGCAAAATAAAAATGAAAAGCATAAAATAACCCACTTGAAACAAAATGCACAATTCCTGCATTCAACATAATATTTAGAATTCTGCAATCCTTACCTCATTTTTGTCGTCTTGATGCATGGTCCAGTTAAGAGACTTTGCTCCTTGGGGACCTCTGGACGTGTCATAAGTGCAGGTGAGGTTGACGGAGTGCCCCTCTACCACGTCGTAGTGCTCAACACTCTCACCATCTACTATGCGGTTGATTTGCCAGGGATTAGGAACGTTCACGGTGGGCTTCACCAGGACCTCTGTTGGACCTGGTGGTGATGACATGTGTTGTAGCTCGCGCACAGTGATAACTACAGGCGTTGGGGCTACACACACACAGCAATAAATTACATTACAATAACTTATGAACTTTTTCACTAATAAATTCTGGGAAGTTCAAGAAAAATACATACCACTCAGTCAAAAAAAGTTAGTAATCAGTTCTTTGTTCAATATAATAGATACAAAATGATGAGCTAAATCACGTGGAAAAGACGCAGGAAGAAAAAGATTGGAAAATCCCATCTGCAGTTAAATGACAAGAACTGAGTATGAGCAACAGTCAGAGAAATCGTATGAAAATAACTTGGCATTGAGGGAGAAAAGAACACACGACACTGCTGTATAGCCATTTAGGGAAGACATCAGTGAATGATAAACTATCCGGGATTAACAAAGGAGGTGGAAGGACGCCCTTTATTACAAGAAAGTATGATTTACTCAGCAAAAGATTTCAGGTTTTCAAAATTCAACTGGAAATATCACAAGGTTTAACACAGACTGGAAGGAGACTGTGCATTTTAGTTCACAGGATTATAAACTTTTATGTCACATTAGAAAGTGTGAAACTGAATGAAACAAAAGTATGAAGCTCAGATAACATCTCACTGGTCTTAAAGGAGTGGCCACGGAGAGAGAAGAGGGAGAGAGAGAGAGAGAAGAGGGAGAGAGAGAGAGAAGAGGGAGAGAGAGAGAGAAGAGGGAGAGAGAGAGAGAAGAGGGAGAGAGAGAGAGAAGAGGGAGAGAGAGAGAGCAATAACCCTCAACACCTCAGTAGATGAAGGAAACATTTCAAAGGATTGGAAAACAGTTAACGTGGTACCTATATTCAAGGAAGGAGACAATCAAGCTTTCCTAAACAAATAACCAATGCCCCTCACATGCAATAGAGAGGAACATCAGGAGATTAATGAATCATTTAGAGTTCTGTACTATCTGAGGGTTCAAACCTTGTCTCCAAATACCAACATGGCTTTAGAGATGGAGTGTCCTGCTTAATGAACCTACCAGAGTTTCATGACAAGTGAGCACAGTTAAAGCAGGACAAGGAAGGTTTCATCCTGAATAGTCAGATAACAATGGATACAGTTCAACACAAGATATTAATATACAAACTTGAGAGTAATGCAGGAGTAACTGAAAAGGTGTTGAACTGCATGAGAAAGTACCACTCAAACTGGAAACGGACACAATTCGGAATCGCAGGCCACAATTTTCGTTGATAGTGTGAGATTAAAAAACCGAGGAGTGAGAGAAATATGACAACAGAGCCGGGCTTGTGTGCCAAGAGCTTATCTTGGTCATGGGGTCAGCAAGGGTGTCTAGTTGCGCTCCCCCGCAGCCTTGGTAAGCTTACTAACAAGTCTAACACAGTGTACAGTGCAGTCACATCTACAGTAACTACAGCTGTAAGCTCATAAAATTATAAATTTGTAGTTAAAACATAAAAACTTTGCTCCACGTGCGTCATATGCTTCAATTGTGCTTCTTCAGAAAACACCCGCACTCAGCCACCCTCTTTTCAGCCCCCCTCACCCTCTCTCGGCCCCCTTCACCCTCTCTCGGCCCCCTTCACCCTCTCTCACCCCCCCCCCCCCCCGTCACCTTGTAACACCTCTAGACTCTTAACCTTCCACCTATAACACCTGCTCAACACCCGTCGGTAAACCCTCTGACCCACTAGCGAACTTGCTCGACTCTGCTGAACAGATATTCAACAATTTAGACAAAAGTCACGGAGGGCAGAGCAGTCGAGGCAGATCTGTGGCTGGGTGGGGGGCCCACCGGGAAGTGGCAGGGACAGATATCGAGGATACATGACATGTTTACCACAATATGTTGTACCTCGACAGATATCGAGGTGTAACAGCAGAGATCCCTCCTCGAGGCAGGACTGGCTTTAAAAAAAAAAACTTTAGGATTTGTCTTTGCTTGCCCTGCTATGCGAACTTCATAGTTTTTTTTTGCTTTCCTTATCTCTTTTTTAACATTTCTAACCAGTTGTACTAATTCCTGTTCTAAACTGACTTCCCCATTCTTAATCCTTTTGTACCAGGATCTCTTTTTACCTATAAGGTTCTTCAGATCCTTTGTTATCCACTTTGGGTCATTAGTATTCGACCTATTCAATTTGTATGGTATATTACGTTCCTGTGCTTTGCTTAGAATATTTTTAAACAAGTTATATTTTGAATTCACATCAAAATACCTTTTTACGTTACATTTAGGAAAGACTATGGTAAATACTGGTTCGGTAACAGGGTTGTTGATTTGTGGAACCAATTACCGTGTAATGTGGTGGAGGTGGGGGTCCCTCGATTGTTTCAAACATGGGTTAGACATGCATATGAGTGGGATTGGGGGGTTATAAATAGGAGCGGCCTCGTATGGACCAATAGGCCTTCTGCAGTTACCTTTGTTCTTATGTTCTTATGTTCTTAAAAACCTGAGTGTTCTGCTTTAAAAAATATATAAATAAAAATGGAAATGTTCGTTTGTGCATAATCACTAATCTCCGAAAGTTCGCCACCGATTGCTTTGAAATTTTCACACAACGTTACATTCGCATCTGCGCAGGTTTTTATATGCATACTATATAGATGTCACATCTGTGATGGTAAAAAAACATGCTTTTTCTGAAAAAGTTTTTCATATGAGGGAAATCTTCGAAACCTCTTTACCGATTTCTCTGAAATTTTGACACAACGTTGCATTCGAATAGGCGCGTCTTTTTATATATATCAACAATATACATGCCTTACCTGTGACAGGAGAAAACGTGCTTTTTTTGAAAAACACCGCCATCTGTTGGACGTAAGAGCAACACACGCTGTAATCTCCGAAAGTTCTTCACCTATTGCTTTGAAATTTTGACACAACATTACATTCGAATAGGCGCATCTTTTTGTATACCTACTATATAGATGCCACCCCTGTGACAGGTAAAAATATGCGGTTTTGAAAAGCAGCGCCATCTGTTGCATATACAGTGGAACCTCTATTAACGAGTTTAATCCGTTCTGGCACTGAGCTCGTTACCTGGAAAACTCGTCTTAAGAAACAAATTTCCCATTTAAAATAAAGGAAATAAATTTAATCCGTTCCACTCCCGAAAACATCCATACTTGTATGACTTTTTTTATGTAAATATAATACTGCACATGTAAATATAAATATTTTGTTGTAGTGCTTTAATATTTACTTTACCTTATGAACGGTAGTTGCTGGCTGGAGGGAGACGATGGGGAGGTGGGAAGGAGGAGAGGGGTTATGGTGTGGAAGGAGAATCCACCTCTGAGTCAGGCGGACTCTCTCTCGGGAATTTCACCCAAATTTCATTTCAAATGTCACACAAGGATGCGTTAGACCAGCACCAAATAAAAAACTACGTCGATTACACTCGTGTCAACAATATAATAGTCTTACCACGAAGCTACAATACAATGCCGTTTTCTCAAATAGGCAATGTGGTTATTAAAGAAAACGGAAATTTCATGGCAAACATGTATACAATCCCCAAGACGATCGGATAAGAATTGGATTTTATAGAAATATTTGCTCAAATGACACTTGAGCGCGGTGTTTGGGTGCATTCAAGAGAAAAAAGTGTGTCACGTTCAAGCGACATATACCTGCGAAAGTGATAACACTTTCATAAAGTGTTATCACTAAGTGATAAATTAATTAACCATTTTCACACACCGGGTTGTCACTGCTTTATCAGGGCAGCTTTTCCAAGAATGCGTTCACCTTTTCAAACATTCCAAACACTTCCCTGAATTCAGTGGAAGAGGCAGCATCCTCCCTTACCTCCTCATTCCCTTACTAATGGTGTAAATTGTTGACGAGACCTGCCATACTCCCTTGTGAGATCAGTCACACAGACACCACACTCATGCTTTGCTATAATTTCCTTCTTCAAATCCACAGTAATTGTGTGTTTCTTCCTCTTGACAACACTATCTTTAGCAAGCAGCTTCTTTAGAGACATCATGTGTTACAAATTGTTGTCGCAAAACCACTAAAAACCCAAAGAAAAGCTCAAATAAATCCAGAGGGATGCTTGTCGTGTGCAATACAACAACAACACTGGCGTCGGAGGCGTCCGAGAATTTGCGAGAACCCACGAGATGCTAGGAAACGCCATGCGGTTTTGCTCGTTAATAGAGGTGAGCTTGTCAATAGAGACAAATTTGCTGCGAGTGGCTTGCTCGTTACTGGAAAAACTCGTTAATAGAGCCACTCGTTAATCGAAGTTCCACTGTAATAGCAACATGCACGCTATACTAAATATGTCATGAATTCCATTTTAATGTTTCCGATTGCATTGACAAATTTTATTTTCCTACAATTTGATTTTTTTTATTGAATTATTTTGTGCGACATTTTGTTGGAATTGAGCTGTGTTGTTTACCATACCGTTCATTTCGTAAGTATAAGTATAGATGCCACACCTGTGACAGGTAAAACTATGCTTTGCTTGAGAAACAATACCATCTGTTGCATGTAAGAGCAACACACACATGCTATACTAAATACAGTATGTTACAATTCCATTTCAATGTTTCTGATTGCATTGATAATTGAATTTTCGTACATTTTGATATATTTTTATTTAATTATTTTATGTGAATTACGTTGGAATTGAGCTGTGTTGTTTACCATACCGTTCATTTCGTGAGTATAGTTTATTTTTTTATTTGTTCATATTTTCAGTTAATTTTTTAACTGTTTTTCTTATATATCAGTGATGGGAACATCAGATGACTTGATATTCCCAATTTTCTGATGGGAACATCAGACCATTTGGGGAGGCATCGGACAAGGGAGTGGGGAATGGTGGGGATGACGAGGGGACAAGGGAGGGGGTAATGGTGGGGAAGGACGAGGGAACGGGGGTAGTTTGGGATGGTGGGGATGAGGGGATGAGGGAATGGAGAATGGTGGGGAGGACAAAGGGACAGGGGAGTGGGGCATAGTGAGAAAGAAAAGGGGATGGTGGAGTGGGGAATGGTTGGGAGGCCGAGGAGACGGGTGAGGAGGGAATGGTGGGGAGGACTGGGGGGCAGGGAAGGTTGCTTTGGCTCAGCACAGCAACCTTCGGCTCAGCAACCACGTTGCTGTGGCTCAGCACAGCAACCTTCGGCTCAGCAACCACGTTGCTGAGCCGAACTGCTAGTATATAAAAAACTGCTAGTACTGCTAGCAGTACTAGCAGTACTAGCTAGCTAGGGTACTGCTAGTATATAAAAAAACTTACTTAACACTGCCACCACCCCCTGTAACCCAATTGTCCTTCCCTGGGGAACAATCCCCTGGGAATGTTACAGGGGGTGTCCTTCCCTGGGGGACAATCCCCTGGGAATGTTATAGGGGGTGTCCTTCCCTGGGAGGCCTTACAGACCTCCCAGGGAAGGACAGAGACCAATAACTATGAACTCGAAGGGCATAGAACATCTGGGACAGTAACACTTGGAATAAATTAGGGAACCACTTCAATTTACTTACTGAGAATCAGGGGACATCTTCTCAAATCAAATCAAATCAAATGTTTATTTAGGTAAGGTACATACATACAAGAGATTTTACAAAGAGTGATGGATTTATAGATAGGGCTAGTACATACAATGCCTAAAGCCACTATTACGCAAAGCGTTTCGGGCATTCTAACCATCCCCTGATAATTGTATGGAGGACAACACAGGGAACTTCCAATACAGCATGTAATTAGAAATTTAATAAACTCAAAAACTAATAAAAGATAAAATTAGATAAACATCAAAATTAATCATTAATGACTTTATTCAAATAAATGACATGAAATATATCCTAACTTTTAATAAATCCTAACGAGGCAGTTGGTGTAGCAAATAACTGAAAAGCACAATCAAGATAGCAATGGTGGGGAGGACCTTCTCCGTGCAATTAACAGACAGATGTTGACGGCCTCCCCAGGTCCCCTTCACCTGTCCAAGTCCACAACTCCAGTACACACTAAATTAAAAATCCTCGGAGTCACCCCCCTGGATGGATTCTTGGACCCGCCCATTAAGTCCTTGCTGGCCCTCTAAGCCACGCCCAACAGAGGCTTAATCCAGTCATTTCAAACTTTACCTGAGGTCTGGCACTCTGATGTATTAGTGCCTGGCCTCTCTCTGGTTTCCCACCAATACGCGGCCTCTAGCTGAGGCACCCTTATCTCTACCCAATCAGAACCCTGGGACAACTTGGTCTCCTCGAAGAGGTACATTTCTTCCTGTAGATTGTAATGGCTGTACCCAAGCTGCAAAGGAGGGAAACAAACCTTATCTTTCCTCAAGGAAACATATACCAGACCCTACGACCCAAGGAGCGTCCAGTAAAGGTAATCCGAGCAGGGAATCTTTATAGTAATGGATAGTAACGGCTGATTAATGTAACAACTGTCACGGGCTAAGGTGAGGAACAAGGGAGATGGGAGAGGAGTGGGATGGTACGGGAGAGAGGGAATAGAGAGGTTAGATGGGAAGGGGACAACTTCTTTCTTTTCATTGATAAATCACAATAAATACAATAAAAATAATCTGATAAAAAAAACAGTGCAAGCAGTGATCCGTGGAAAACAGAAGCAAAAACATGAGGACAATCAAAGAAAGGAAACACAAAACTGAAAGACGAACAAGCACAAAACATGGAAACACTGAAATAACTCAGGGAAAACAGATACACACAAATTTTATATATACACAGAACTAGCCGCGGCAAAGAGGCACGGGGAAAAGAAAACCATACATCATGAGGGATAAATCCAAGCAGATGGGCCACATGGAAAGGGTAAATAGCCAATACAGACAGTAATACATAACCGGAACACACGGACTGGGAAGAACATAATGAAATGACACCCACACATATAAACAAGAACACTGGAACGCACAGGAACCAGGAAACAATGCAACAACCACACCCCAAACACACAAAAATAAACACCGGAACACGCACGAACCGGCAAAGAAACACAAATCATACAGAAACACAGACACCAGAAAGCACGCGCGCACACACGCGCGCACACACACACACAAAAGTGACACCCCTAGGGTCAACACTTGCAGCAGAGGAGCTCCAGCATATTTCAACAATCCTAAGTATTGTAGTACAGGTTGATGGTAGTGAGTGGTGTCCCAGAGAACATAAAGGTATAGTGCTCTTGAAAAATAGGTGAGATAACAGGAAAGTGCTAAGGGAAGTGAAAAATCGGTTGAGAAAAAGTTGCCCTAGTGTTTACAGTGCAGAGAAGAACATTCAAGATGGCCACTGGCAAGGGGAAAAACAAAACAGAGCTTGATTTTGAGGGATTCAATGAAGAAAGCATTGATATTAGTAGTCTACATAACAAGTTGGTAAATTTAGATACTATAGTGAACTCTCATGTAGAAATAATTAGTAAATTGAAAGAAAGTAATGACCATTTGAATAGCAAAGTTTTATGTCTTGAGGGTTTAGTGAAAGACTTGCGCAAGGATAAGAATCAATTGGAAACAAATTGCAAAGCCATGGAAGAAGAAAATAAACTCTTAAAAATAGCTTTGGAAGAAGTTAAAGTAAATTTAAACATAAATGACTACAATAGGTTAGGCAAGGAAATTCAACAGGAGAAACAGCTTTTGTCAGCACAGATGGAGGAAGTTACACAGGGAATAGAACAGTGCAAGAAAGATATGCAACTCACTTATGCACAAGTGGCCAAGGAGAAGGAAAAAATAGAAGAAGCAGTAAAGGAAGTCAAACACTGCAGCAACCAAGATAAAACAAACATTAGGCTGGAAGTGAGAAAAGAATTGGCATCTAACCCGAAGTTGGTGCAAAACACAGTTGATCGGAGTAAGTCCCTGATCATTTTTGGCTGCAAAGAAAAGGCGATAACATCTAGGTCAGAAAGAGCTGTAGAAGAAGCTAAAGTAGTAGATAAAATTGTTGGCCTCGTGGAAGGTCTTACAAACAGAGAGAATGTGTGCGACTACAGGAGAATAGGCAGGTACGTAAAAGGGAAAGATCGACCTTTGAGGATCACCCTAAACGGTGCCAAACAGATGGAAGAAGTACTAAGGAATGCTAGAAAATTGCAAAGGGATGAGGATGGGAAAGGGTGGTCGTTAAGACGAGATCTTTCAAAAGAAGATAGAGAGAAGCTGAAACTGAACCTCGCCGAGGCAAAACATTTAAATGAGAGCAGGAATGAAGAAGAAATAAATTCTTTTTTCTACAAAGTGATAGGGGTAGGCAAACCAGTAAAGTGGTACATAAAGGCAAACCAACAAAATCAATAGAGAGAGGGGGAGTGAAGAATAAGGAGAGGGGGAACAAGTTCCTGAAGATTGCATACACCAACATAGATGGAGTGAGATCGAAGATACTGGAGTTAAGTGATGTAATACAGCTGCAGACACCAGACATTGTTGCACTCACGGAGACAAAACTTGAAGATGTAATTTTAAATGAGGTCATATTCCCAAGGGGCTACTCAATTTGGAGACGGGACAGAAAAATTAGGAAAGGCGGTGGCGTTGCTGTGCTGGTAAAAGAACACCTAAAGGTGAAGGAAATAATGACTGCCAATCCACAAGAAGTTGACATAATAGCACTAGAGATCTGCTATGAGGATGATAAACTAATGATGATAAATGCATATAGTCCACCGCCAAGCAGCACATGGTCAAAGGAGGAGCTAGATAGTAAACGTGAAGGTCTTATAACAATAATGAGAGAGATTATAGCGAGAGCGGATAACGATAGATCACGACTGTTGATAGTCGGTGACTTCAACTTGAAATCCATAGACTGGGAAGCATATGAAGCTAAAACAGAAGATTTTTGGACCTGTAAATTTGTAGACCTCATCCTGGAAACATTCTTGTATCAACATGTTAAACAAGCTACGAGGATGAGGGAAGGGGACGTTCCCTCCATGCTAGATTTGATATTTACCAGGAAGGAGGAAGAGATATTTGACATTCAGTACCTTCCTCCCTTGGGTAAAAGTGACCATGTCTTTTTGGGAATAAAGTATGCAATGCGTTATAAGCTGGAAGAAAATAAGGAGGTTGAAGCAGTTGAAAAACCAGACTTCAGGAGAGGACATTATGGTGACCTTAGAAATTTTTTTAGTGAGTATAATTGGACAGACTTGATGCTAGGCAAGGAAGTGAATGAGATGTATGGCAAGTTTTGTGAAATATATGATAAAGGCACAAAAAAATTTATACCAAAACAGAGATGCAGAACTAGGAAACAGGATTGGTTCAATAGAAATTGCGAGAGGGCTAGAGACCGAAAGACACAAAAATGGAATCAATACAGGAAGAGGCCGAACCCCCAAACATACCAGCGATACAAAGATGCGAGAAACAACTACACGGCAGTGAGGAGAGAGGCAGAAAGAAATTTTGAAAAAGGGATTGCGGACAAATGTAAAACAGAACCAGGTCTATTCTATAAATTCATAAACAACAAATTGCAGGTAAAGGATAATATTCAGAGGTTGAAAATGGGAAATAGATTCACGGAAGATGAAAAGGAAATGTGTGAAACACTAAACGAAAAGTTCCAAAGTGTGTTTGTACAAAATGAAATCTTTAGGGAACCAGATACAATAAGAATTCCAGAGAACAACATAGAACACATAGAGGTGTCTAGAGACGAAGTGGAAAAAATGCTCAAGGAGCTCGGTAAGAACAAAGCAGCTGGCCCAGATGGCGTTTCACCATGGGTTCTGAGAGAATGTGCATCTGAGCTCAGCATTCCACTTCACCTGATCTTTCAGGCATCCCTGTGTACAGGAATCGTAGCAGACGGGTGGAAACAGGCTAACATAGTTCCAATCTACAAAAGTGGCAGCAGGGAAGACCCCCTCAATTATAGACCTGTATCATTGACAAGTGTAATAGTGAAAGTATTGGAAAAACTAATCAAAACTAAATGGGTAGAACACCTAGAGAGAAATGATATAATATCAGACAGACAGTATGGTTTTCGATCTGGAAGATCCTGTGTATCGAATTTACTCAGTTTCTATGATCGAGCCACAGAGATATTACAGGAAAGAGATGGTTGGGTTGACTGCATCTATCTGGACCTAAAAAAGGCTTTCGACAGAGTTCCACATAAGAGGTTGTTCTGGAAACTGGAAAATATTGGAGGGGTGACAGGTAAGCTTCTATCATGGATGAAAAATTTCTGACTGATAGAAAAATGAGGGCAGTAATCAGAGGCAATGTATCAGAATGGAGAAATGTCACAAGTGGAGTACCACAGGGTTCAGTTCTTGCACCAGTGATGTTTATTGTGTACATAAATGATCTACCAGTTGGTATACAGAATTATATGAACATGTTTGCTGATGATGCTAAGATAATAGGAAGGATAAGAAATTTAGATGACTGTCATGCCCTTCAAGAAGACCTGGACAAAATAAGTATATGGAGCACCACTTGGCAAATGGAATTTAATGTTAATAAATGTCATGTTATGGAATGTGGAATAGGAGAACATAGACCCCACACAACCTATATATTATGTGAGAAATCTTTAAAGAATTCTGATAAAGAAAGAGATCTAGGAGTGGTTCTAGATAGAAAACTATCACCTGAGGACCACATAAAGAATATTGTGCAAGGAGCCTATGCTATGCTTTCTAACTTCAGAATTGCATTTAAATACATGGATGGCGATATACTAAAGAAATTGTTCATGACTTTTGTTAGGCCAAAGCTAGAATATGCAGCTGTTGTGTGGTGCCCATATCTTAAGAAGCACATCAACAAACTGGAAAAGGTGCAAAGACATGCTACTAAGTGGCTCCCAGAACTGAAGGGCAAGAGCTACGAGGAGAGGTTAGAAGCATTAAATATGCCAAAACTAGAAGACAGAAGAAAAAGAGGTGATATGATCACTACATACAAAATAGTAACAGGAATTGATAAAATCGACAGGGAAGACTTCCTGAGACCTGGAATTTCAAGAACAAGAGGTCATAGATTTAAACTAGCTAAACACAGATGCCGAAGAAATATAAGAAAATTCACCTTCGCAAATAGAGTGGTAGACGGTTGGAACAAGTTAAGTGAGAAGGTGGTGGAGGCCAAGACCGTCAGTAGTTTCAAAGCGTTATATGACAAAGAGTGCTGGGAAGACGGGACACCACGAGCGTAGCTCTCATCCTGTAACTACACTTAGGTAATTACACTTAGGTAATTACAGTACATATATAAT